GTATATAATAATATTATAATTTAGGTTCATAGCAGTATATAATATATACGTAATGTATTTATAGATAAGTTTATGAAATTAGGAATTAATTATTATATATTGCTTAGAAATTAGAAATAAAGGACGGCTATAAAATAACAATAGTAAACTATTCCCAAAAGATTTTTGGGTCAAATAAAATAATATAATAATAACTTTGAAGGATAGTAATATCAATATAATATCATCAAAAATAACCGGGGTGTCACACTCTATCCCCCTTAAAAGATGATTCGTCCCCGAATCATGACCACAGGTTATAATGAACTCAACGTCACAAAGAAACTCGATCTCGAATTTAACAACACAACAAAGAAAAGATGATACACCACAAAGATGGAGTATTACATTTTACCCCGCTTAAAGAAGGCTTTGTCTTCGAAGCACAACCAAACCAAGATTGACAAATGGATGCAAGCATAGATAGGGAAAACAACCAACAACAAAAGACCCAAATTTAAGTTGAATACACCGCAATAAAGACAAAGTGTTACACTCACCCCTCCTAAGAAATATAATTACGTCCCCGTAACTTTCATGCAAGCTCAGGCAAGTCCTTACCAATCTATAAGCATAGATGTAGCCAAACAAAATCACCAAGATCCAAAACATTTTATCAAATAACAAATATATCAAAATAATGCGCCATTATCAAATAACTATGCAACAAAATGCAAGGTCACACATCCTCACCGTGGTTTTCAACATTTTAAATTCTTAACCAATTTTATTCCTATCATCTCATAAACCTAGGTTCTATGGGTCATTGGCACAACCTAGGCTCCCCAAGGTTCGTACGTGTGACACCCCAAAAATCCAAATTCAATTCATGGATTAATTGAGTAATTAATCCTATTTCAATTGAGGAATTAATTTCTAAAATCCTGAAATTTAATAGATGGGGACTAGTATTTCACTAGTCAACTCCAAAGTCAAGTTGTACCTTGAGCTTTGAAGGGAGTTCCCTTGTTCCTTACACTTTCTAAAGTTAGTAAGGGTATTCTTGACCTTTCACCAAGTGTTAGTATTGTAACCTAACCTAGAAGACATCTTCATTTCACCCCTTACACTTTCTTAAACATTAGCTCTACCTTCTCTCTAGAAAGGTGAGTAGCTTTTCCTTCAAGCTAAGTTGAGACCTTGTCAACACTTCAAGATTTGCTCCTAAGATTCAACCTTTCACCTATTTGGGCATCTAGGAGGGTAAGATCTAAGTCCATCTTGTGTTTTTTGGTTCCATCTTAGATGTCTTTTTCTTAAAAGTAGGATCTTTATGATCTTTTGGTTTGTTCTTGAAGTGGGTTTGGAAAGTGAGCCTTGTGGGGAGCTTGTTGAGGTGTAAAGTGAAGTCTTTTAGTCTACAAGAGGTAACCCATGCTCTACAAAACCTATTTTGCTTACCTATATGTGATTTCTTGGATTCTACTTGTGTTTTGCTATGAAATGTGAGTGTTTATGCATTTGTCCATTGAAAATGCATATCTAGAGCTTGTGTTTAGGGTTCTTGTGTGCCATTGCTTGGCATTTTCTTTGATTCAAGTCATTTTGTTGTATTGGGTGAGATTTGGCATGTTTTGGACTTGAATTTGTGTTTGGAGACAAAAATCCGCAAAGTGTGTTGTTGTGGTACAGGATTGTACCCGCGGGCAGAACGGTGGGCAGGGCACCACCCGTCGCCCCACCCGCGGGTACGGGCCTTGTCGGAATATGTTCCCGCGAGCGGAACCATGGGTGGGGCGCTACCCGTGGGTCCACCCGCGGGGAACATGATGAGATGAATGGGGGATTTGTTTCCCTTGATTCTTTTGACTCGGTATTTGGTCTTTTGACTTCCCGATGTTCTTTTGTGGAACTATTTGAGTGTCTTGTTGATATTTCGTATGTCTAGAACTATATGGTAGGTATCCATGTAGGTCTTTGGTGTCTTGAATCGTGCTAAGTGTTCAACATTGTGATTCGTTGAACCGTGATGTTTCTTGTGTGTTCTTCGGAACTACCTTTGGTTTATCCATTTGATAAGCATGCTAGTTTGGTGTCTAAATGCTAGCATGTGTGTTGTTTGTAACTTCCGATTGGTTGATGATAACTTGTGTTATTCATCGTTGTTGTTGGGTTGTGACACATTCCTTGATTGAGTGTGTTTCATACCTTCGTTGTGATCCGTTGATTGATTCCTGTTGAGGTGTGGTGTGTGTGGCTTTACCTGGATTGCACGATTAGTGATATGGGACACTAGTCACCAAGGTATTGCACATACACACTACCTAAGCATATAAAAATGTGGCAAAAGAGCAGTCAGGGAAATTCTCTATTTGACATACCAAGTCCAATTGGCATCCTTTGTATGAGTTGTCTTTGGACAAGCTCCCATTTCAAGTACACGAAATGGCTTATACACCCATATTGAATCGCCACATTGAGAAGATGGTGCCAACATTTCAACCTGTAGCATGTACATGTGGAACCACAACCAAAATAGAGCAAAATAATGATAGTTTGTAGTTTTATTTTGACTCAACTTTATGAATATATAAATGAAATAGATAAAGAATACTTACAGTTCAAGAGGACTGTACATATGTTCTCACAGTCCTCTATAATATACTTGTCCTTATTTGAACACAAGTATAATATATATATATATATATATATATATATATATATATATATATATATATATATATATATATATAGAGAGAGAGAGAGAGAGAGAGAGATATCAAATACGATAAAAGATGGGTTTAAACTCAGCCCTTGATTTAATATAAAAAATTAACAGCCCTTGAAGAAAACTTAAAAGAAAACGCGGTGGCAATTTAGTATTTTTCCGTTTTGGTCAAACTTGCATGCTTTTCTTTCTTAAGTTGCGTGGTTTATGTGCTTAAGGTGCACCAGTTATTCAGTTGTTCAAACTTAATGTACGTGTTGATGTGCTTAAGGTGTGTGGTTTGTGTGCTAAATGTGCGTGGTTTGTGTATTTACGGTGCGTCATTTTAATACTTAATGTGCGTCAATTAGAATACTTAAGGTGCGTCATTTTAAATCTTAAGGTGCGTGGTTGTTTGTCTTCTTAATGCATGTGCATGGTTTGTGTAGTTAATGTGCGTTCAATTTTAACACTTAAGGTCACACACACACACATATGGAAGCATGTTGCCATGCGAGATCATAGAGATTTACGAACACTATCAACCGATAAGTTATTTAGTGATCTCAAAGCATAAGAGTTCGAAATGAAGGCCAAAAATGATGAAGATTATGAAGTTCGAAATCCAGCTCTAATAGCCGAACAACCGCCAATCTCCAAGTTTGTAGATAATATTGATTTTATGACTAATGAACAGTTTGCTCTTTTTGTTAGAAAGTTCAAAAGGTTTATGTGAAAAAGAGACAACAAATATTCATCACGAAGAAATCAAAATTTCCCTCGTGGAAACCAAAATGGCATATGGAAGCCAAATGAAGAAAAAGATGGAGAAATGAACGATCTATGCTACAACTGCCGCAAACCAGGACATTTTAAAATAAATTGTCCGTATCCGATCGTTAGCAAAAATCCCGGCAAAAATGTTGAATCTACATCAAATAAGTTCAAAAGCAAAAAATCGGAGATTCAAATGCGACAAAAGAAAGGCTCTCATAAGCAATGAGCCCAATGAAAATGATGAATCCGACGAATCGTCATCAAGCGATGAAAGCTCAAGTACGGATAATGATACGGCGCTAGTATGCAAATCAATGGAGTTGAGTTCTTGTGAAGATTGTCTTATGGCCCATGGAGCAGAGGAAGAAAAGTTAACATCTAATTCTTTTACTTTAGTTAGTACTTTCTTTTCTTGTGAATCTTTTGGCAATGTAATGCGAGATTGACAAGAGATCTTGGCCACTCATTCTCAACTCATGGAGCGCAATAATATTCTAATTCTTGAAAAATAAGAGATGAATAAAAAATTGCAAAATGCTTTACTTGAAGTGAGTAACTTGAAGAGTGAAAATATTAACCTTCAAGAAGAGTGTAAAGCTAGAGAGGCTAGAGAACAAAATCTTAGAGCTACCATTGCTATGTTTACAAATTCATCTAAAATAATAGATAAAATGGTAAGCATGCAAAAGCCATCAGGAGACAAGACCGGACTTGGTTATAACTCCACATGTTCTCAAACCCCTCCAAAACTAACTAATTTTGTCCTTCTCTTCTGCGCAACCTTGGTCACAAAACAAGTATTAATCACAGACAATCTTGTGGCCTGCGTAAGGTCATGAGTTCCTAGCCAACTTAGAGCAAGCTCCTCTCTTTCCAAGGTATTCGGCCCAATGGTTTCAGCCAATTTATTGTGATCAGAGAATCTCCAAGATCTCCATGCTCTTGCACGCTCAAACTCCTCAAGCAACACACTATTCGCCCCAATAGTTGGTACATCATCCACACTACCAACCTCCACTCTATCAACCGGCAAGGGTGGATTGTTTGGGTTTAGGGAATTGATGATGGATGCATGTATGTATGGTATAGGATGGCTTGAAGCATCTACATTTGATCTCAAGGCGGGGGTGTTAGATCCCTCATTACTCGCCTTGCGAATAATGGGTTTAAGAGCTAAGGAAGGGTTTGGAGGGTTGAGGGCTTTCCTTTTTCGAGAGGGTTTTGGTACGGTGGCGGCTTTGGGTTCGAATGTACTGGGTCAAAAAAGGTAATTGTGGTTTAGGACAAGTTTGGCTTTGGATAGGGGTACGTTTTTGGTTCTTAGAATCTCCCCAATTGCAAATCCATAACCAACCTCCTATTGGAACCATCCCTCCACCAACGGTTTGGCTTTCACAAGTTGATCACACAACTTCTCAAACAAGAATAATCCCTAATCAACACACACATTGTTCACAATAACACTCATAACCATGAGTGTAACACCCCCCATTTTAAAAGCCAAATTAGAAGATGTTCTCTACTAAAAAGATTTAATATGCGGAAGCAAATTTAAAATCTAAACCATTGGGGTGCTACGCCACGCTTAGGCAACCAACTAAGCCCAAACGCACAGGCTACAAAGGTTCTGATCAACAATACAACATTCTACTTTCCAAAACACAGGATAACTAAAATTCAAGTATTCATGTTTTACGACTAATTAATCTATACCAAATTAAATCCAAAGACTACGAGCTCTACGCCACGCTCTCAAACTAGCCCCAACTCCAAATCCTGAAAATAAAAGGTTTAAGAAAAGCTCAACGAACAGAATTAACATAAAATGCTAAGTAAGCTCTACTCCGCCCTGTAAAATAAATACATTTATAATTCGAAAATAATTATACTTTGTAAATAAATTTTGAGATTTGAATATATCACAATTTAGAAAACATTTAGTCAAGTGAATATATAGGTACATAACTACAATAAAAATATTCTTGACTCGCACCCAAAAATAAGTATTATATCCTTTCTCAAAATAATTTTCTCGAAAGTAGGTTAGGCACCAACGCCATACACTCTCTAGTCAGAAAAACACTACATTTCATACAATTTAATAGAGATTCGAAATAATAATACATAGCACTTCCCAAAATGGTATAACTAATACATAGTCATTCTTTCTCTTTTTCAAAATAAAAATAAGTATAGAGGACTCGAAGTAAGCTTTCTCACATAATACTTTACAATACAATAATCATTTGTATAAACCATCATCTGTCATAAGCATTTCCAAGGTATACATAATATAGATATGGAGGAACTCATAGCAGCATATAGTTTACTCATCAAGTGCTCATCTCAAGACATAGATATTCTCAAATAATCATTTTTAGTATAGATTTGCACATAAGCCTCTCATAAACATATATATATATATATATATATATATATATATATATATATATATATATATATATATATATATATATATATATATATAAAACTAATCATAGGTAGGGAGGAATTCAAATTATATTTCTCAAATCATTTTTCCAAGTATCACATATACATATCCGAATATCATAACCATCACTCACGAGATCAACTAAGCCCTAGTGACACGCTAATCCACTCTACCGGTCACTCCACAAGTTTGTCCCTTTTGTGGGATAAAGGACTAAAACCTTTAGTGTGCACACCCTCTAATGGCCTTCCCGCATCCAAAAGAGTAGTAACTAGTCCAAGTAGGCGCAGGATGTTTTCTACTAGGCTACTCCACACATAATAGGTATCCAGGATGTTTTCTACCGGATACAAACTCATCAAAGTAGTGCCAAAGCCCACATAAGACCAAAGTCCACCAATCCACAACCATCCATCATATCCACATATCCTCCAAAAATAAATACAATATCCTCCAATTATACTAATAGTTCTCCAAGAAAAATTTTCATAAATATTCTCATTTGCCCGTAGGCTATTCAAATCATAGTTTTCAAAATAGATAGGGTATATAACCCATCAATATCCATACTTTTTCAAAATAGAGTATCATTCAAATAATATTTGTCCTCCAAATATGATACATATATATTTTCCAAAATAGAATTTTATCCTCCAAAAATAAGTTTAGTTTCATACTCATAATTTTTGTACCATTCCAGATAAACACACACACACACACACACACACACATACATACATATATATATATATATATATATATATATATATATATATATATAAGTTTGTAAATCATGAGTCAACATAAAAATATAGACATTTGGCTATCTATCACATTTTAGAAACCAAGGGAATTTTTGTAATAATTGAGGGGCACAAAATCAAGTAGATGGCACAATTGATAGGGCAAAGTAGTTCTGAACAAACATAATGACTTGCAATAATTTATATTGATATCTCTCAATACATAAGTTTATCAAACTAAGAAAATGCAACGTAACCCTTCCCAAAATAATATTTTCTTATTACATAACTATTTAGAAATCATAGAATAGTCTATTAAATCAAAATGGTATCAAAGGGGTTGAAATAGCTTAATGGTAAAGAACATAAATTATTAAGTATGAGGTCAAGAGTTCAAATCCTATTTTAAATAAATAATAAATTTTGCAAGCATAATATATATATATAACAAAACACACATGATGCTAGTATGTAGAGTCGAACAAGTAACCATCCCACTTGCAAAACAACTACAAACCATTCCACCGTCTCTACACATGTTGACAATTCCAGTCCAGATTATATAAGTTAAGAATTCCAGTCCAGAAACATAGATCACACCCAAAAACATTTTCATACCAGAATACACAACAACATTTCCAGTCCAAAAACACAACATTTCCAGTCCAAAAACATAGCTCAAAACTTCAATATACAACCCAAAACACATGTTTAATTTATAGTATAGGGCAAAAATAGTTATGGGAGACATAAACACTTACCTCCATTGCTAAGACTCCAAAAATCCATCCGTAAACTTCACTACCAACCTATTTTACTGCCATTCCTTCCATCTCAGACCATAACCTCACCAACCAACCAACAAAACCCACAAGAATACATTGTTAGCTACCTATTTCTAAGAACAACCAATAAAGGAATGGTAGAAGAGAAAGGGAGGAGAAATCTTACCATTTGGAGCTAGGGTTTAGGAAGGAGAAGCTCTTGAGGAGGATGAAAGAGATGAAGAAGCTTGATGAAGATTGACAATAGAGAGACGTGAGAGAGAAGAGAGCTACGAGAAAATGAATAAAAACCAAATCATGGAAGAAGAGGATTAGGGCTATTTATAGCTAGGGCTTTGAGGGGCAAAATTGTAATTATCAAATTTAGAGTACAACATATGAGTTAAAGATTTGGACTCGTGAAAAATTGTTGGACTTAGGAATATAAAATTATTTGGGTTCAAGACTTCAATAGTTATAAAAATTATTTTGGCAGGCTCGTGTCAGATAGATTGTGGATAACAAAATCATTGGCTATAAATTAGCTTATTTGAATTCTGAAGTAATATAATTTATTCCGAGAGTATTCGGGATAAAATATTTAGGATCGAAAAATAATATTTACTCCTGACAATATTTTATTAAATAATGTGGTTTAAAATAAAAAGGTGTCACAATCCACCCACCTTAAAAGAAGCTTCGTCCCCGAAGCTAGAATCACACTACTACAGAATTCACATACAACGTCGGGTCTTTAACGTCGGCTATATAAATAGCCGACGTTAAAAACATTTAATAGTTTATAACGTCGGCTATTTAGTAATAACCGACGTTATAAAGTAAACATAAAAATATAAAAGAAATACGTAAGCTACGACGTCGGCTATACTAATAGCTGACGTTGTAGATCGTTTATTATTATTTTTTTCTAAATTATTTATATATAACGTCGGCTAAATCCCTTTAGCCGACGTTATAAAAAAAAAAAAAAAAATCTAATACAACGTCGGCTGTCTTTCTAGCCGACGTTGTATACTTTTAATTATTATTATTATTTTTTTTTCTTTATAACGTCGGCTACCGTCGACGTTATAAACTTTATAAAATAAATTTAATCTCCTCAGCTCAGACGACGTACGCGGTACTCCATCTCCTCCAATCTCTTCGATCTGCTCCCCTCTCCTCCATCTCCTCTTCCCCGATCTGAGACCACCACTGCCGACGCCGCTGCAACCCGTCGCCGTCGTCCCCGACGCACAGTCCATCTCCGCCGACGTCGTCTCCGCGCCGCCGCTGCAGCTTCACTCCTCCGCCGCCGCTGCAGCTTCAAGTTTGCTTCATATGTGTTTGTAGTCTGCCACAGATTCATGTATTAACCCCATAAAAAGAGGAAAAGTCTCTTCCTTCCTACCATCCTAGAGGAGGATAAACATTTTTGGTGTTACAGCTTCATTAAGATGTTCATTGGTCTAGAAATATTTGTTGGTAATGTAGATTTTGGTGATTGCTTTTCATAAATTTTTCTTATATGCTCTCAATATGTAGGTGTTCTCAGATTTGGAGCGTTCAGTTTGTCATATGGTTCATCGCCAGGTTCTATTATTTTATTTTATTTTTTTGTTCTTGAGGTTTTTTGTTCATTGCATGGTTTGAAGCGGATTCTGTTTGTGGCAGCCATGCTATTGCAATTCCCATAGTTCTTGTTTTGCCTTATATCTTTCGTCCTTTTCAATGTCTTCGGCAATATAAGGACACAAGAGAAAAAACTACCCTATTTAACGGTATATTCCTTACTCTTCCCTTCTGTTTTTTTTTTTTTTTTTAAATGTTGATAAGTACAGCTTAGTGCATTTTGGGGTGAGTTGGCCACTGGATATTGCTAGAACATCTTGCTTTTTACTCTATATATCTTTTACAATATAATTATGATATTTATATATGATTTCAGCTCTGTGTGTTTGTATATTAATCATCTTGGCCACTATGTGTTTGTATTTTGAGTTTTTGGAGAAGGGAGTGTCATTAGATACAAGGCCATATATTCTGTGTGTATCCTTGTATGCATGTTTTATTTAAGTATGTAGGATAGAAGATAGATAGATGCAATTTTGTTGAGAGGCCTGAGAAGATAGATGCAATTTTGTCAAATGAAATCTCATCCTTCCTCATGCTCATCAAGGATGATGACCTATTAGTAACTTGATAGTGCTGTTTGATCAATTTTAGTATAACTGAACATTGTTATTGACATGATCTATTAGTACCTTGTAGTTATCCATGGTACACAAAATTTAGACAGTTGTAACATTATTTCGATCTTTACCTTGTTTCCAGATCATTATGATGTTAAAATGCCATGCCACCTCATCCTATCAAAACTTGCAGAGAAGTGTCCGTCTTGCTGTCTCTTAGCAGGTAATTTTTCTTCTTTTACTGGTTTAATAGTAAGGGCTCCTAAAGAAAAATTGCAGTATATATATCTTTCAGTAATTTTATTACTTGTTTCATTATAAATATTAGATTCTACATATTTTGCTGTGGTTGTGGTGCAATAATTGAGCAGGTTTTGATTATGGTTGTGAGAAATTGAGCAGGTTTAGGTTGTGGTTGTGGTTGTGAGAAATTGAGCAGGTTTAGGTTGTGATTGTGGTTGTGGTTGTGAGTAGATTTGAGCAGATTTTTGGGTATAAATGGACAAATAAACTGTATATTAAAAAAAAAAAAAAAACATACAACGTCGGCTATTAAGTAATAGCCGACGTTGAATATATTTAAAAAAAAAAATAAATAAAGTTTACAACGTCGGCTAATAGCGTTTAGCCGACGTTGTATCGTATTTTAAAAATAATTAAAATACTTACAACGTCGGATAATTGCTAATAGCCGACGTTGTAGGTATTTTAATTATTTTTAAAATACCTACAACGTCGGCTAATAGCATTTAGCCGACGTTGTAAGTATTTTAATTATTTTTTAAAATACCATACAACGTCGGTTAAATGCTATTAGCCGACGTTGTAAACTTTATTTATTTATTTTTTAAAATAATATATAACGTCGGCTATATAAATAGCCGACGTTATAGATAATATTTACAACGTCGCCCGCAACAACTACAGAACATAGCCGACGTTAAAAGCTCTATTTAGCCGACGTTAAAAGCCTGCTGTGTAGTAGTGTCATATTGAAGATAGGAAGTCAAACTGAGATGATAGTAAACACAGGGAAAACATTTAAGGTAAACACTCTTAGTCTTAAAGAGTTTAATCTCGTGAGGGAAAAGAGAATGAGAGATTTAGACTTTTAAACTAAGGAACAACACCAATCAAAGATATCATCAAGATTTTCACTGATACGACCTCGGAAATTAGGTTGTCACCTTGCATATAACCATTTGTGAAGAAAACGAAAACAAGCTTTGAGAAGATAAAAAAGATTTCTCAACAGAAGGGGTATTCGGTTTTACAAGAAAATGAGAAATTCAGCCTCATAAAGAAACAAGAAACTCAACTTCTGGCCAAGCAATAACAATTAAAAAAATAAGGCACTTCTCCTTAGCTCTGGAACACACAATTCTAGTCTCTAGTCTATAAATTCCAAACACATTCCTCAACTTGAGCATCCAATGCACATAGAAGTACAGAGTTTAACTTCTCCAAATTCTCATTTACTTCAACTCAAATAGTTAAACAAATCAGCCCCACATCCAAACCTTATCACACTTACATCATTCAACTTCCCCTTTTAATCCAACTCCATACCTTGAGTATCTCAACCAATTACCAAAGAAACATATCTTATAGCCACAATTCAAATCAGCAACAGCAAAAGATAGAACACAACTTACAACTTAAGCAAATAAGATAAGCACACAATCCTCACCGCGACTTCCTAAGGTGTGCACAACTTTTAAAGTTCCAAACCAAGATTTTCATTTCTAATTACTCATACCCTAAGCTTCTTTAGTCAAGTTCCTACATCCAATGGTCAACCTAGGCTCTGATACCAACTGTAACACCCCCCATTTTAAAAGCCAAATTAGAAGATGTTCTCTACTAAAAGATTTAATATGCGGAAGCAAATTTAAAATCTAAACCATTGGGGTGCTACGCCACGCTTAGGCAACCAACTAAGCCCAAACGCACAGGCTACAAAGGTTCTGATCAACAATACAACATTCTACTTTCCAAAACACAAGATAACTAAAATTCAACAATTCAAGTTTTACGACTAATCAATCTATACCAAATTCAATCCAAAGACTACGAACTCTACGCCACGCTCTCAAACTAGCCACAACTCCAAATCCTGAAAGTAAAAGGTTGAAGAAAAGTACAACGAACAGAATTAGCATAAAATGCTAAGTAAGCTCTACTCCGCCCTATAAAATAAATACATTTATAATTTGAAAATAATTATACTTTGTAAATAAATTTTGAGATTTGAATAGATCACCATTTAGAAAACGTTTAGTCAAGTGAATATATAGGTACATAACTACAATAAAAATATTCTTGACTCGCAACCAAAAATAGGTATTATATCCTTTCTCAAAATAATTTCCCCGAAAGTAGGTTAGGCACCAACGCCATACACACTCTAGTCAGAAAAACACTACATTTCATAGAAGTTAATAGAGATCCGAAATAATAATACTTAGCACTTCCAAAATAGTATAACTAATACATAGTCATTCTTTCTCTTTTTCAAAATAAACATAAGTATAGAGGACTCGAAGTAAGCTTTCTCACATAATA